CTTCAATTTCACGAAGCTCTTCGTCAGTGTATTCTGGCTCAAATAAATAAGGGCGGCCATCAAACTCTGCAAAATCAAATTCCTCCTCCACAAAGTCAAAGTCTGGCAAAAAGTCAGCCATTATTCTATAAATCTTTCATAAAATAAACAAATGAACTTTTCAGGCTACTGTCCGGTTCTGCCTTCCAGCTGTTGCTGCTTGTTCAGGCACGCTATGAGATCGCTGCTTGTTCTCGCGATATTTCGGCAGCGCTTTGGAAAGCAGAGCTAGATGGTAAACAAACATGGCAGCACACCCGTAAAGTAAGACAACACGTTTACATGTCGTTTTCTATATGTTCTCTGACATTTATCCTAACGATATGAGGCGGTCTTTGTGGAAAAAAGCTTGTTTAGTGGACTAACTTTGCACTTGAAGGTATGCCCATTCACTTACGTTTTACCAGGTCTGATGCTACTATGCGCCCTGGCTGTATCTAGGCTAACGGCTAACATGCTAACTACTAATTATTTCTATGTCACTAGTCACTTGAAACAAATTTAGGACGATAGGAGACGGGTTGAAATAAACCGAAATTTCCCTTTAAATCTGCATTCTGTCTAATGGCCAGCAGGGGCGACTCCACTGGTTGCAAAAAGAAGTTTTAGTCTATGAGAAAATTACCCTACTTCTAACTTTATTTTTTACCTCAGTAAACATTTACTTTGTGAGTTTATGGTGTCATTTTCTAGTTTTAAGTCTTCTTTGATGTAGCATGATGTTCATTTAGTAAATTATGGTTCTGTTTATTGAAAAATAGATGATGAAACAGGATATGCTTTAGGGTGTGGCTAGCTTGTGACTGACAAGTCGCTACCATGGTGAGTTATCAGTAGTGTCCTCAGGTTTTCAGACACACCCCTCACTCCTCCACAGCTCCTCCCTCTCATCCAAATATTGTCACTTTTGGCTCCAAAAAACCAAGATGGCCAAAACACAAAACTTGAGGCTTCACAATCACAAACCAGTGGCTGACGTCACAGTGTCTACTTCCAGTTCTTTTTTACAGTCTATGTTTAGATGGTTGGGAACAAGAAAAAAAAAGACATGAAAGCTGTTACATATCCAGAATATCTATCAACCATCTCAGTTCTTGCTTTTGTTGAGAACAGCTTTATATTAGAGGTTAATATCCTCAGTCTGTGGCCTCAAGCTGCAGTTCACCTATCAATGTCATCCAGCTGGTTTTGATTGACAGGTAATTATATGGCGGTCACGTCCGGGCGCAGGGGATGAATTTATGTTGGGCAAGGACTCTGCAGCACAGATTGTTCCAGGTCTCCAACGTAAAGGGGATTTTCTCCAAATCACATTATTGCTATTGGTTAATAACACCAAGGACGAGCTATGAGCTACAGGCTTATACTGTAACCTTCTGTTATTGTGGGAGCCACGTGTGACCTTGCGTGCTGGCCAGATTGGCGTCCGTTTTTTTTTTCATGTTATATCTTTTGGTACCGCAAAGGGTGAAGTGAGAGAGTCTGCAGCTGCTGCTGTGGGATAGGATATAGTTTAAGCAACTGTAAGCTCTCGGTGGTGTAATATCTTTTGATACACATCAGACTTGTAGTTGTACAAACATTATTTGGAGCTTGTCTGAAGGGAGAGATAATCCTATTGGTCAAGTTAAACCTCACTGGGTGGAGATATTTTTTTCTCTCTCCATGAAGTACATTTGGCTAAATCCCAGTGAGAACGGGAAAAAAACGGAGAAAGGAGGTAGTTATAAAGTGACAATATGTTCAGGTTGTGTTTACAGCTGGTTGCGCTGCTCCTAAGTAACCGAAAAAAATCAATTCATGCAGGTGTAAATACTGTGGTTCCTTCTTTCGATACATGGCTCCCATTTCAGAGAGCCAATTTTGGTTCATTATCCTCTGCATTCAGTTAATGAAATATGCAGATGGAGAGCAGCATAATATACATGGGTTATTGAACACTGTGCAAATGATCTTAACCATTTATTTGGCAATGATATGAAAAAAATCTCTTTTAGGGTGCTTCATTCTGTTCTACAATGAGAATGACTCGGTTCACATGCACAAAATATTCATTTTTTTGCCCTTAATCCAAAAAAGACAATATACCAACTAAGCTGTGTAATGGCTAATGAAAATGAGTGCTCCACTAATACTCCTGTTTACAGGCAGCCATGCATACTCTGATTAACATGCCCCAACATGTTGTTTATTGTATATCAAAATGTAGAGAAGTGAAACAACTGGAGCCGCATCTCATTTTGCTTCTTTGCATCAAAAAATATTTTTTTTCAAAGTTTAATATGGGTAGTTGACTTGTTGGACCGTGTGAGCACAGCCTGTCTCTTTCATTCCTTCAACCACCTTCTTGAAAATGTTAGCGTTGTGACATTTGCAGATATATAAATACTTGTTGATATACAAGTCTTTCACAATGTTTAAAAGTAGGTGTGTTTCTTCCTCTGACCAGAAATGTGGGCACCACATTTCTACTCAGCCTTAGAAACTGTTGGCAAGTTAGTCTGTGGACAATGTATCCATGACAAACGCACAGAGCCGACTGTAAACAGGCAAGAGGCTGTGTGTTGCAAACTGCGGTAAATACCCCAACTGAGACACATATTCTGAATGAGCTGTATACATGTCCAAATAATGCTATTAAAACCCAAATAACACTGGCATATCCCACGTCTTAATCGGAAAATGCTGTGTTTGTAAAAAGGCCTAATTCAGAATATTTAAAGGGAAGATGCTGTTTACATGACCCACATCAAATTCACTTCATATTCTGAATAATAGTGGAAATTGGAAATTGGTACCCATTGTGTTTGATGCTGAAAATAGTGCTGGGCCTGGCTATTGTTTAAAGAAATTATACAATACCAGTACCTTTAAAGTGATACTGATACCAATAGAATACTTCATTTCATTTGTTTTTTCTACTTCATATGATGCCCATCATGTAAATAGAAGCATTCAGTTGTGTAAAATGCCGCTAGATGCCACAGGTGTGTAGTACAGCCATACATTCTTGCGTTTTCATGGCATCTCAGCATGCTTAACTGCCAACTCTGACAAATACACTGAGCTTGACTTCACCACACCCCAGACTTAGTTTTAGTTGCTGCGGCATTGGGCCAATCACACATGGCATTAAAGGGAAACTTGTGTATTTTTGAACCTGGACCCTATTTTCACACGTTTTGTGTCCAAGTGACTATTGGAGACAACAGTTTTTGAAACTGGTTCAGTTGTGAGACCACTACCACTGCAGTGGCGAAACAGGCTCCAATGTGATCCCTACCGACAATTGCTCACCGTCAATTTACATCCATTAAAAGTGCTACAGAGAAATTAAACCGATTTCGCTGTTTGATTTCACGGATCTGGTCTGCTTGTAAGTGTGTGCAACCAGGTCTCACTCAAGGAGAAGTCTTGTTCTGATATCTCTTAAACTTTTCCACATTGTCGAAATCGGCAAAGTATTTAGCGTGGTTTCTAAAAGATTCCATGCTCAACTTTTAGATAACACAACAAACTCTTCCTGACACTTCTTCCCCCAGTTCTTACAACCATTTCCACTACTCTCTTCCTGCAACAAATTACCTTACCTGAGATTTCAGAAAGAGACCTCTCCTTAAGTGAGACTTGGTCAAAATAACAAACAGACACACTAAGAGTAAGGAAAAATGTTTCATTTCGCTGCAGGATCCTTTTCCTGATGTTGTCAGACACTTCTAATAATAATCTGAGCCTGAACACGAACAAGCACTTTTAGTGGATGTACATTGACAGTGCACGATTGCCCATAGGGATTACATTGTATGGATGTCACTAATTCGGCTTCTTCTCCGGAGCCTTTGTGCTCCACTGTCTCTCAGATTAACTCATATTGCAGCGGTGCCTGGACAGCGTGACGTGTGTGGTTGTGCTGCTGCCGTGGTCCTGCCAGATGCCTCCTGCTGCTGCTGCCATCATTAGTCATTAGTCATACTTCTACTGTTATTATACACATATGACTATTGTCACACAAGTATACTGTCAGATATTAATACATACTTTCAACATATTGTACCACAGTAGCCAGAACTATAACTATAATATTATTACTTTCATTAATGTTGTTGTAAGCTACTGTCATTACCTGCATCTCTCTCTCTCTCTCTCTCTCTCTCTCTCTCTCTGTCTCATTGTGTCATATGGATTACTGTTAATTTATTATGCTGATCTGTTCTGTACGACATCTATTGCACGTCTGTCCGTCCTGGAAGAGGGATCCCTCCTCAGTTGCTCTTCCTGAGGTTTCTACCGTTTTTTTTCCCCGTTAAAGGGGTTTTTTTTGGGGGGAGTTTTTCCTTATCCGCTGTGAGGGTCATAAGGACAGAGGGATGTCGTATGCTGTAAAGCCCTGTGAGGCAAATTGTGATTTGTGATATTGGGCTTTATAAATAAAATTGATTGATTGATTGATGATTGATAGCCTGTTTTGTTGCTGCAGCTAGAGCAGCCTCTCTCAGTACAGGACCAATTTCAAAAAATGTTGTCTTCAATATTCACTTAGGCACGAAAACATGGGAAGAAAGGATCCAAGTTGAAAAATACTGAAGTTTCCCTTTAAATCCAAGAATGCTTGCTGTGATTGGCTGCGAGCAAAACCATACAATCATACTTTTTTTCTGGATCTGGGTACAAGAAGAATCAAATGCAGTAATTGTTTTACTGTAAAAGTTTCAATATTACGTGGCACTGCTTTGTTTTGGTTGTTACCTTAAAGCTTTCGAGTACCGATGCACAGCCTCAGCTAAACATACTGATCTGTGGGGGAAACAGCAGTTTCATAGGCAGAAAGATATTTAGTCTTACATGTAAATCTTTTTTTTATTTTATTTTTTTTAATTAAGTTGAACTGCAGTGACCTCAAACTCTCATTTGGGTTTCGAGGTCATATGTTTGAAATTGTTCTGTTTTTGTTACCCTTAAAGGCATCACCACCGTCCTGACCATGACAACACTCAGCATCAGCGCTCGCCACTCCCTTCCCAAGGTGTCGTACGCCACTGCGATGGACTGGTTCATCGCTGTCTGTTTCGCCTTCGTCTTCTCTGCCCTCATTGAGTTTGCCGCCGTAAACTACTTCACCAACGCGCAGATCGAGCGGGCCAAAAAGAAGCCGGCCAAATGTCCCCCGGTGCCCCAAACCACGCCTGTCAAGGTCAAGGACACAGAGGAAGTGCTGCAGGTGATTTTTTCTTTCCCTCAAAGTGGCCGTGGTAAATAGTCTGATAGCACTTAACTTGAAGGAGCACTTACACAGCATGTCCCTTATTATGTGCTTACTGTATCTGGCCTTTAGCCTAGACTGTTGAACGGCCAGGAGTGGGCCTGCCTGAGGATCGTCAGCTGTGCTCCTGCTCATAAGAGCTGAGAGGAGCTGAACTGTAGAGAAAACAGGAGAAATCTGATCCCAGGATATGAGTTTAGACTCCCATATATCACCAGAACCAGTCTGTATCTGGCTGTTAAATTGAACTGAGATAAAAGATTATGAAAGTTTTATCACTTTTCACTCCACAAATCTGAACATAATGAATCCTAGGTTTCTGTTTTATAACTGAAAATGTAGCTCAGGTGGTTCCACGTCAATCAACAAAAAGAGCACTAGACTTTAAAGGAATACCTCACCCCCATCAACATGCATTTGTATATCAAATGCTCATCCCATGTTACACTGAATTTGAGGGGAAAACATTTTTTCTTGCATGCTTCAAGTGAACAAAGAATAAATGAAAATTGAGAGATTTCTTAATGAATTTAAGTCATAGGGGTCCGCATTAAACAACAGCAAAACTTAATCAAAACAACTGTTAACAAACTCTCACAAAACTCATGCAGTGTAATCCAATTTTACCCAGTTGTATGCTCTTCCAAGCCAGACTTCATTGACAAAAACAGTAATTTTATGTTGCTGAACATGGGCGATGCTGGTCTACCTCTGCCTCAGTCAGTTTGTATTTTTTTTTGTTTGACTTTAATGTTTTAAAGGGTTATTTTGGATTCACTAAAGTCACACAATAACAAATATACCACCAGTTGAGGCAGAGGTAGACCAACAGGACCCGTGTTCAGTGAGGTAAAATTAGTTTTTTTCAGTGGAGTCTGGCTTTGAGGAGGGCATAGATAAGTCTCACTTTCAGTTCAGTCCCCAGTCAGAAAAGGCTGTCTGTTTGTGAAGTACTAAGCATATGATTGGATAAACAGGTGTTTTGATATAGTTTTGCTGTTGTTAAATGCGGACCCCTATGACTTCATCAAGTCATCAAGAATTTTCTCTGCCTTAGAATTCTTTGTTCACTGTGGAGGCATGTAAAAAAATATTTAAGAATCCAACATAACACAGGGTGAGGAAATAACATACAAACGATGAGTTAGGGGATGAAGTATTTGTTTAATAAACTGGTGGTGACACACACAACCACTATCTTTATGTTCATTCACAGTGTTTCTCATATCGCCCACTAATTATGTTCGATTATGTGGAAGGTTATTTAAGTTTCTCTGGGACTGTCACTGTTCCTGAAAAGGTCAGAACATGAATTCAACCTGCTTCTTTCACCTGATTACACAGATAATTGCTCTGTCAACCACGGCTCGCCATGTTGAAACAACTGCTTGTTAAATGTGGTAAATGAGGTGGACAATAAAATGGCACACTTAAAATATCCCATACATGTGTTTCCCCAAAGATCAGCCTGGACTGATTAAGCTTTTATTCAGCCTTAAATTTAGCAATTGATTTGTCGACTGATTTAGAGAAGACAGAAAAATGTGTGAGAAAAAAAAGCAGGATCTGAAGCATTTTCACAGCACAGATTTTTATGGCCAAATGTGAGGTGTTTCTCAATCACGGTGTTTGCTGCGGAACCTTTATTTTGAAATCTTACATGAATAAATTGGCATAATCTCCTATTTCTGTCTCACTAGTTGAAACAAATTACATTGACACCATGGCAGCTGACATATGGATTGAATCAGAATTCATGAATATGCCATGAAGCTATTTTAGAGCTCAGAGTCAGATATGATGAATGTGTTACAAATCAGTGTCCATGTAAGTATAGCAATGTATTTATGGTGCTGTTTAAACACTGTATTAAAGATGGGATGGGAAAAGAAGGAAGGAAGTGCATATTTCTTAGACTTCATGTTCTTCTAAAGAGATAACAGTGAATATATAGACCTACTGTTAACTGATCACTGAAGCTGACACAACTCAGCAATGCATATGTCAGTTTTACACTAACTACTTTAAGTTGCCCCCTCCAGTCCAAATCCCAGTGTGGCGTAATCATGCCTGAATGCAGTATAGTGACAACGGCACTTCAGTGGATTAGTAGGTTGCCACGGCAACGCAGCCCGGGTACATCTGTATAGGTTTCAGAAAGGCTCTGGCACTGGGGGAAAGAATTAATACTCTTTTCCTCGAGAGCGGGTCCTGTTGGCGCCAGGCAAAGGGCTTGGCACGAGGGGCAGGGTGTGTTGATGGTTCCAGCTCCTAAGCCCTTGACCTCCTCCATGATGAAAAGCAAACTCCGCTATCCACACACACACTTCCTCTGCTGCACGCGGGACACAATAACACTGGATCCATTCAGTTTCGGGGGGGTGGATTACTGCTGCAAATGCCTTAGTACCAGCATCACACTCTCCCTGCTTGAAAACATCAACTCTCAAAGGATAAGCTCCTTTGACGCTACACTGCATTACCGCCCCGATGAAGTGCTACCTACTTTCTGTCTTAAGCTTGTGTGAAATGAGTGAAATCCGTGGTAAGTGACATCTGTATTGCACACACTCTATCGTCTGTTTCCAGATGAAGGCCATCTGTGTCAGGGGGATGTAATCAGATCAATATGATGAGGTTTACGATGCCCAGCCCGCTTCCCAGAGAGGAAAAAGCATGTGAGCTTTACCTTGCCTGCAAACTACTTCAAACGTGAGGCAGACAGGAGGAATGTGATTATTCACACTACAAATCCTCATACTGTTTCCCCCCATATGTGGGTCCACATTTTAACAAAACAGCTTTATTTATTTTATAACTCACTCAGAACAGAACTTCAACTTGATACACACATTATTATCACGTATTAAATAGGCATATTTATCAGTTTGTTACATATTCTTGGCAGATATTTTAGTATCTTTGATTTTTAATTAAACAAGAGATAAATGCCTCTGAAACATCCTTCAGACCATGATGTCACACTCCAAACTTAGTCAAGTCGACAGCTTATTTTGAATTAGGTGGACTATAATATAGAGCCTGGCTGATACTGGATTTTGAGACTGATAACGATATTAATATTTGACATGTTAAATATCTGATAACTCTGTATTGACCAACATTCATTTTATACACATAACATGTAACACAACATAAACAATCATTTATAAAAAGGATACTTTAAATTTGCTAAATAAAGTGTGTTAACAACATACTGAACAGGACACTTTACAATAGAAAAATAAACCTGCCAGTGCTCTTTTGTTGGCAAACTTTTGTAACAGTGTCAGTTCTGTAATGCAGCTGACTGTTCACTCAGCTCTACTCCGCTTAGTTACTGTTGCTATGCCTGTCAAGCTTTTCATTGTCCAACCTGAATGCCGGAGTAAATGTTGTCATTGTACGTCACTGTAAGCCACAGATATGTTAATTTTGTACATCTCATATGTTGCAGAAATGTTGAAGCTTTGCGTTTCTTTACATTTCAATTTTCAATTTTATGTTGTGACAATACTGTGCTGTGATTATGTTTAAACATAACACCTGGTTAGGATTAGAAAAATAGGTCTTGTTATGGCCTAAAATACCCACTTTTGTCACTAGTAACACAACTGGAAATGTCCCCGAACTCACTTTTGTTGGTCTTGAACAGGGGTTTGCTGTTGTCTGCTGGTTGGCAGCTGTCTTGCCTTGGTGTCATGCCACCCAATCTCCCATCCTCCCCCTGATGTGAATTAAATCTCATATGCATGTAATCTGAACTATGTCATAAGTATGAAACGTACAAATGTAACATATCCTTGAATTGCAGAAACATACGATGCCAACATTTTCTTCTAGTGACTGGGCTGCATTCCCACAGAGCACATATGCAGCTCTGGCACATCTATGACATACCATTCATAGTAATTTTATAAAACAATGCGTTCATCAAAGAGAAAGCTGTTAACATTGGCTTCAACTCTGAAATAGCAGCATTCATGACTAGTCTCCACATTGTGGGGAAATATTACTGCTATCATGAACCCCCAACTCCCTCACATTCAAACTGTTAACTTACTAAATGTAGTTTGTTAATGATGCGCTAACCCTTGATACAGGGTACTATAGGTAATAAAGCTAATAAGCTAGACATAAACTGAATCATAGTGTTTGTTTATAATAAGGTTGAGCAGAATACTCGGATTAAACAAGTACAGATAATGTCCTTCTTACAAATGTGAGTACCAAACAAATAAAATGTATGAATATCAGTACTTGTGATAAAGGGAAACACTCATTTGGGTAACTGTGTTTAATCTCTTTCCCTAGTGATCAAATCGATATGAAGCTTAATTCTGAGACTGTTCTACAAATAGTTTTCTAATAAGTATGCAGCAACTTATAATCAACCCATATCAATTTCAGGCTTAAAATAACAACTTCACACATCTGAGTACAGATCCCGATAATTTTGTAAATTAAACAGATACAGACACAGGTACAGATAATCATGTACTTGCTCATCCCTAGTTTATAATAACTTCCAGGTAGAAATTCCCTGCATCACGTGCATAAAAGGAAATGGTTCTGAGTAAACGCTGCCCAGACTGGTTAGTTTATAGCCACCAAAAAAAGTCCCACCTAAAAATTCACTATCAGTTTAAGGGTATGCTCAATTAAGGATATTCTAACCACTTTACCTCACTGTCCAGGGGCATAAATATAATAATAATGATAATAATAATAATAATAATAATACATTTTATTTAAAAAGGTGGCTTTCAAAACACCCAAGGTCACTGTACAGAGCATAAAATAACATACAGAGCAAGACACACACACACACACACATAGGCACCCTTTTCATATATGTATATATACTGTATACATATATGAAAAGGGTGCCATGTTTATTTTATGTATGCCCCCAAAAGGGCAAACCCAACTGCATCATGGTTTTCTTTTTTCTCTTCCTTTTTTATTCTTTTTAAATAGTCAGTAGTTATCTAAAACAAAATTATGCAAGTGAAGTGAACTATAAAATCTATTTATGTACCATAAAAAACTATTCAATTAAATGATTCTTTTCCTACTTACTTTGACAACACATGCACAATAGCATGCATTAGGACCCATCAAAATAGTGTACACTGGGGCTCATCGTAACTTCCTGCCACTGTTGCTGTCACCTTGTCCAACAGGGAACTGAAACCGTTATCTCAAAGCCACCAGACTCCACTAACAAAAACAGTAATTTTACTTTGCAGAACACAGGAGTTGCAGGTCTTCCTGCTGCCTCGACTGGTTAGCGTGTAAGGTGAAGTAGAGAAAATATTCCAAATATAATGTACATTTAAACTGATATTTATTCAGTGCACCCATCCACTGCAGTACATTGCTTAGCTTTCATGTTCATAGATTTGGATTGTCAAAGATGCTAGCAAAGCAACACAATACATAAAATAACCACAACAGAAACATCAGATAGGTTGGAGCACCATGTTCTAATAAATATCTTTAAACATTACAGTTACAGCTGAAAATGGCAACAGAAATTAACAAATTTGCTCATTTGACTTATGTCTGCAGTTGAAATCAATTGCCAGTTGTCTACCCAGAAGTGACTGTTGTTAATGGTGCAACGTCATGGTGATTCACTCTATACTGATTACTGCAGCCCTATGCATGCACACCAATTACATGTTGTGTTCATTCCAAAGCTTTACAGATCTGCTGTGCCTAGTTACAGTTGCCAAGCTGAGCAGTCAGTTTCTTACTTATTGGCCAACATATGTTCCAATACCAATACAGCCGTGATTAGCTGAAATGGCCGATAATATTGGCTGGAGGTTTACTGATCAGGTTCTACTGTTGAACATTCACACCCCAGTTGTTAATGAGCTTAAACACAAGGAACACTTTTTAAATACCAATATCTGTAAACTTCTACATCAGTGCACCTCCAATACACAGATAATTTATTGTTGTTTTTTTCCTCTGTCTCTGCAGAATCCTGATAGCAACGGTAACCTGAGAAAACGGATGAATTATATCTCCCACCAAGAGTCCAGCAGTCACCAGAGAGCTCAGTCCACCACCAACATCTCAGGAGTGGGGAGAGCGAGACCGCTGCGACCTTTAGCCAGCGGAGCCAACGGCAGCTCGTCCACCCTGTCCCGCTCCAGCCCCAAGTCTGAGAGCCTCCTCAGTGTGGCCTCATCTTCTGCCCAGCTGGTGAAGAGTATGCCCCAGGCTGCTGCTTCCACACCAGACGTGATGGCGGGGACGCCGTGCAAGCAGAACGCCAGCTCCTCGTCTCTGCAGCATCTGCTGGGGCCTAAGCTGGAGCGCATCCAGATGATGGGGAACAAACTGGAGCTAAAGCAGACGCCATGCTCCCAGCCCACCACTGCTGGTATGGGTGGAACCAGCAAAATTGACAAGTATGCACGGATCCTGTTCCCAGTGTCTTTCGGGGCTTTTAATATGGTCTACTGGGTGGTTTACTTATCAAAGGACACGATGGTGGCTAAAGGTGGCTAGACTTTGCTCTGGCAATGAGAGCAAAGATCTATTTCTTTCAACAGATGGAAATCAAATAAGGATTATGGGAGTTTGCAAACAATAAGAGGAAACTATCGTTCTTGCCAAACAGATAAACAAAATGTGCTCGCCAAGCACTTCCGTATCCTGGAGAGCATATTTATTCGTTTCTTCCTAAGGTCCTCGAAGAGCAAGCATGGGAACAAATCAACCAAATTAGAAATATCTGACTCAACATAAGAAAGAACACCTGCACACTGGAATATGCTACTGTCCTCTTTATATCGTGCTACGTCTGACTGTAAAGGTCTGCATCATTGGCTTCAACTGCCTCATGATCCCTTTTGGCCTGCAGTCAAGATAAAGCATTGGGATTTTTTCATTTTCCTATTTTTGTACCCTGCACCTGGCAAGAAGTTCAGATGTATACACCACCGTCCTCAAATGAACTACACCTACGCTATGTAAATATATGAATTTAATAGGATAAACTGATTTATATTTAATGAATACAGTGTACTTTCATTTGAATAATAAGACTTGTTGCTTTGGTGCCAGCAGGCTAGATGATGCAAAGTTGAATTACCTGAGAAAACAAATGGACTCTGGCAGTAGTGATGTTCTTGGATTTTCACTTTAGACAAAAAAACATTATTTCCTGAATACAGGCCAGATAACTAAACAACATAGATAGGTTTTGATCAGAATCAAAGTCCTCAAGCCAGGCTGAGTGGAGCTTTGGCTGGGACTACATCAGCCCTGAAAAGCCTCTCTTGTATAGTACCTACTTGCAAAGCATCTTTCTTATACAAGATGGATTCACTAATCTGGAAATACTGAAATACTGAAGATGAAATTTGGGGATCAGTCGAGCAGAAAGTAGTAAAGACAAGTTATTAATTCATGTAACAGTAGGATTTAAGCTTCTTTCCAGCCACAATGGGTTGCCAAATAGTAGACAAAGATTGTGCAAGTGATTAAAATACAGTCCTAGCATGAGGGAACAGAAACGAAAGCTATTCGCCAGCAGGTAACTGCAGCAATAAAAAACAGTGAGTTGGTTGTTTGTTTAGGGACATTTTGGCATGTACAAAGAGGAATGTGACCGAATGGTTCAACAACTGCTCCAGGGGAGAGACTCAGGAGCTCACTGCTGTCATCCGCCTTCTTAAATTGTGTCTAACAGATGTGACCTGCTTTAGGTGTTTCTATACCCTTTCAGTTTGAACACGTATTACATTATTTCACCGCATTTCACGGTGTTAATCTTGGGAAATGTTTCATGTAAGTGGATAAGGTCTGTGGAGCAGAGCCTAAACAGTGTTGTTATCAAAGCTGCAGTGGAGCTGAAACACGCCACATTTTCAAGGTTGAAAAAAAAGGAAAGGACAGTAAAGTAGAAGAATTTTTCAATTATTCATTCAGCTACTGTTAATTGTGGCAGTTCCAGTCAGGGTAATGGGATTTACTGTAGTCACACTACATTACCAGCAAGAAAAACCCCTAATAGAAGTCTAAGTGCAGCACTGCCTCAACCCTGCTCTTTCTGTTTAGGGGTAGGGGTAGGGTTGTTTAGCATGTCATTTTGGATTTTTTTTTTTTTTTTCATTTTTTTCATTTTTGCTGAGTGTTAGATGAGAAGGTTGATACCACTTGTATTGGCTTAGCTTAGCAATAAGACTGGAAATGGGGGAAAGTGGTAGCCTTAATGGGTTTAAAGGTAACAAAATCCCAACCTGGTCACACAGACATATGTGAAATGACCACATCCTCTTAACAACGCGTGGTTCTGGTAGACACACCAATTCCCAACATCATGCAATGGGCGGTGGTTGATGTTACAACCCCATACGTACTGTAAAGAACAAAAAAATCTGGAAGCGGTCGGGTGGTTGATGGGTTAAACAAACAAGGGACTTTCACCCAGGAGGATTGTGTCCTGTGTGAAACCAAAAGTCAATGTCAAATCAAGCAAATGAGTTATTTCAACTTAACGGACTTAGGCACTTTACATAATTATGTAACGTCCCATACGTAGCTAACAAATGTACTTCTTTTAATGGAATCCACAACCTTTTTCGAAACCTCACCAAGCAGCTTTGGTGCCTAACCCAACTGTACCACCACCGGTGTTGGGTAAGGGTTACTTTAAAAGTAATCAAAGTACATTAACTGCGTTACTTTTAAAAAAGTAACCAGTTACTTTACTGCCTTACTCCCTGAGTAAAGTAACTCAATCACTTTAAAAGTACTTCCAACATTACTCCCTGAGAAAAGTAACTCAAGCACTTTTAAAGTACTTTTGAGTATTCTACATTTCCTTTTGGGCAATGGACCACAGGGCGCTAAGCCTACATTTTTTTGTCTCCAAAATTAAAGTTATGGACCACTTGCCCTTCACTGAGATCCAATTCTCCCATCACAGCCGTCACTTTGACCAGTAGAAACACAGAACGATCTGCTGCAGTAGACAACTGTATGACAACAACACCCCAGCGTTTTTAATATTTCCTCTGGGGATGTTACCACACAGAGTAAAAGGGGGAAATGATGGTGTGAAACAGCAGAGGCACTTTGTCAACCCGCTGAGTTAACGTTACTGTCATTAGCATCAAGCTAGCAAACAATGGTACATCCTCACGGTCGGACATAAAGTAATAACATTAACAAATAGCGGCGGGGCTTTTACTCACCACAACTGCAGAGGCTCCCAGCTTAATTTGAAACAAACTACATTATAGATGGTCCGTTATTTATTAATCCCTCTGTGTGTTTATATATTTACTTTTTATCCGCTCTGTTGTCTTTGTAAAGTTAACATTTTGCACCGTCATTTCAAACTCAACACTTGTTTCAAATTAAAAGCCCCTTATAACCTCGGCTAGAGAATCCCTCCATTTTCTAAATAAACTTTTATTCTGAAACATTTGTCAGAACTTCCTGTGGAAGATACAGTAGCTTGATAGTTTACATATGGCGCTTCAAATGTAGCTCCTGCCATCTGCTGACGCTTTTAGGTGACTACAACAACATGTCGGCTGGCACATGAACAGACACAGTGACTCAAATAATAGTGAAAGTAATAAAAATAGGACAAGAATAACCCGATGACATCACACACGCCGTGAAAGACGACCGGGATAATTGGTGAGTACCAGCGTGTAGCGTGTACCAGGCATAATGCAAGTCCTGAGTCTGAAATATGTCTGTCAGCGAGTCCTCCTCCACCTATTTAGACTCCACCATAGACAATGGCAGCATTTCTCCGACCACTTAGCGAGCCACAAGCTCCGTGGCTTCTTTCAGACTGATAGGTTTAACGTTATCTCCGTTATTAGAACCAAACGACAGCCTTTGCTGTTTCGGAGCTGAAGGACCAGCGTTCTAAAAGTAACGGAAGTAACTGATGTCTTGTTTGAAAATGTATTTAAGTATTTGATTACTCAAACAGCAAACTAACGCTTTAGGTTACTCGTTACTGCAAAAAGTAATCAAAATACTCTAACGCGTTACTTTGTAACGCATTATACCCAACTCTGACCACCACCTTGCAGTGGTGTAAGGACGTTATGACGGACCCTAGTGTGCGCTATCGTGCACGTATTGTCTTGGAACAAATAGAGGCTTGACATTAGACAACATCAACATACATATTACCCAGCATTCATCATTGCATATCTGACAAAAATAGCACTGTAAGTAAGAAATCAATCACTTAACTGAATAGTTTTAATTATTTTTCAATTTTATGTCTATTTTTACGCTCCTGCCAACTTGTAATTTAAAACATTACTTGCTGCCACCGTATAATGTGGTGTTAAGAGGTTGTGGTCATTTCACGTATTTCTGTGAAATCTGGTTGCAAAATCTGTCTACCAGCATCTTAAAGCTCACTAACTTCAATAAGTAGACTCCAGGAAGCCAGCTAGCAGGCCTGTTTCCAGTCTGTATGCTAAGCTAAGCTAACTGGCTTCTTGCTGTAGCTTCATCTTCAGGGTACAGACATGAGAGTGGTATCAATCTTTTCATCTAACACTTGGCAGGAAAGCGAATCAGCATATTTCCCCAACATGTCAAACTTTTTTGTTTAACAACATTTTTGGCTAGCTCTATAGCTCACTCTGTTGGTTAGTTGGTCAGTCCATGAACATTTCCCCACCCTTTGGCACCCAAGGGTTTTGCCCTAAGAGGCTGAAATTTAGCATTGAGTTCAAGTGTGTTTGCATGGTGGGAGTGGTCTACAGCAAAAATAATTTGTATATGGTTTGCAGACTTGCCCAAGATGTTGTGGAAAGACTGGTCGTCATGAGCCAAAGCACAGCTGATTAATTGTTTGTGCCAACTGGCAAAAAGGGGTAATGCGTGGATGTATGTGCGTATGTGGTTACAGGTGTTGGAAATTTGTGCTTTTTAAAAATCCTATTGATCTCTGTGGACACAAAATAAGTCACATTTCTACTTGTCCTCCAGGTAATGTAGAAATAGCCCAGAAAACCTAGAATCGTATTGAAAATGGCCAAAAAGTCACTGAAAATAGCCTCCTGTGTGATCAGGGCCGTGTGCAGTTTCGCACTTGGGTGACCCTCAGGGGTAATGAAAGAGACTGCTGATAATTGAATCTTTGAATGTGTGAAGGGCATCATTATCTAAATATCACAAACATGACGTCAGGACACCGTCCTCTCTGCTGTCTCTTGTTCTGTGTCACTGACTGGTAGAGGTGAAGCAGGGGATTTATTGTCATTGTGTCCGTCCTCTGGACAAAGTGACATATTCAGTGATTACCTGCTGTGTGTAAGTGCAAAGACGACTTCAACAGATGTATGTTACATATAAAGTTCTTTGTACATTAATCAGGAACAGAGGTCCTGAAACATCTGGTTAGAAGATAATTAACATGATATTGTCCTCAGTATGTTTTGATAAAGGAATCACAAAAGTCTTGCTTGACTGATAGAGTATTTTTCCTCATGGCCTAATTTATTATTCACCGGAGGTTGTGTAAAAGTTGAAGGTTAAAGAGTCAGTGGATGAGCTCAGCTCTACTGTACACCTCTGCAGACA